TAAAGGGGTTGGGTCACGGGACTGCGCCTTATATAGGGAGTCCAAAACTCCATGGGAGTTCGAATCCTGTGGAGTTTTAGTCACCAATTACTAGAGAATCGATCTCTGGCAATTGAGGACTAAAACTCCACGGGAGTTGAACTCCCGTGGAGTTTTTGCTCTCACAACAGATTTCACGGGAGTTGAACTCCCGTGAAGTTTGTTCAAGTTAAAAAACTTCACGGGAGTTCAACTCCCATGAAGTTTTTTGAAGAATTTAATCTTCATGGGAGTTGAACTCCCGTAAAGTTTAAAAACATACTAAACTTCACGGGAGTTCAACTCCTGTGAAGTTTCATAAAAAATTTTTAGAAACCGACCCGGTTTCAGCGACAGAGCTAAAACCAGGTCGGTTTTTACAAATAACTTCGAAACAGGTCATTTTTTGCAAATAAAAGTTAAAATAGGACTGTTTCAAAAATTTGTCTGTGAGTTCGAAATGCAAAAAACCCACAATGTACATTTCCAAATCATTATTCACTTCAAAAAACATCCCCATTTTACCTTAACTACAAACCCTTCTCTCTTCAGGAGATGTTTCCTGCAAAATTTTCAGGGTTATTTGCAATTTCTGAACCTTTGGATGTCTACAAATTTAAGGGGGTTATTTCATATTTTTAAACCTTTTTAGTGGGTTTTTGCAACTTTTAGTTCGTTATTTGCAATTTGTGAAACTTTTTGAGTGTTTTTTTGGAAAATTCGAAAGCTTACCGGGTCTTCCTACACTTTTGGGGATTATTTACAGTTTAAAAAATGTTAGGGGTTTATATAATTTTTAGGGAGTTATTTGTAATTTTTAGAACTTTTAAGAGTTTGCCTATAATTTTTTGGGTGTTATTTGCAATTTTTATAGCTTCTAAGGGGCTAAATTTATTAGTTGGTTGTTAAATTATTAGTTAGCTGTTAGCTTATGAATTTGTTGCGAAACTTATTGGTTAGCATTAAACTTACGAGTTACTTGTCAGATTTATTAGTTACTTGTTAAACTTCCGACTTTGATATTAAACTTATAAGATAGTTGTTAAACTTATTAGTTAGTTGTTAAACTTATGAGTTGGTTGTTAAGCTTATTAGTTAATTGTTAAATTTATGAGTTAGTCGTTAAACTTACAAGTGCAGATATTCATATCGATGGCCAAATTTTTTAATAAATGCCTATCATATAGTTAAATTGTTTTAACCATTATAGTATTGAAATTGAAGCCAATTTCCGACAACTTGGAGATATAATAAGGTTAACACCTATCTCATAAGTTTATTAACTAATCACATACCAATTTCCGACAACTTGGAGATATAATAAGGTTAACACCTATCTCATAAGTTTATTAACTAATCACATAAGTTTAGCATCTAACTTTGAAATTTATTATGGTTAACACCTATCTCATAAGTTTATTAACTAATCACATAAGTTTAGCATCTAACTTTGAAATTTATTATCTAACTAGAAGTTTAACAACTAACTCATAATTTTAACAATTAACATTTAAGTTGAAAATCTAAATCATAAGTTTAACAACTAATTCATAAGTTTAACAACAAACTCATAAGTTTAACCCCCTTAAAAATTATAGAAATAGCAAATAACTCTCTAAAAAATTACAAAAAATAATCCGCCCAAAAAGTAATAGAAATTATAAACAACCCCTTGAAACATTAGAGCAAAATCCCCAGTAAGTTTCAAAAAAATGTGGAAACCCCCTACAGCTTAAAAAAGCTTTCAGAAATTGAAAATGACCCGCTAAAAATTGTAGAAACCACCCAAAAAGTTTTAAAATTTATAAATAGTCTAGCAAAAATATATCAAAAACCCCTAAAAAGTTTCAAAAATTGAAAATAACCCCAAAAATTCAAAAACCACTAAAAACTCTTTAAAACCCTCAAAAGTTTCAAAAATTACAAATAACCCTAAAAATTGCAAAACCACTCCAAAAAGTTCCAAATATTGTAAATATCCTCCTAAAAATTACAAAAAATACCTCAATAAGTTTTAAAATTACCAACAACCCCCTAACAATTTACAGAGCACTCGCTCAAAAGTTTCATAATTTTTGTATATCCCCTTAAAAATTTTGCTTAAAACCTTCATAAAAAGGGATCTACCATCACTACGATTTTGTTCTCTGATGTTTTTCAAGATCTTCAAGGGGATGGAGGAATTTAGAGGAGAGAGAAGCAAGCAGGTATATTTTCATATGTTGCTCGCGTTTTATAAATGATGACGATGAATGAGAGCAGCGTCTTTGGATGACTGATGAATCTATGAAAGACAAATTTTTAAAACCATCCCATTTATAAAAAATTGTAAAAAATGATCTATTCTAAAATAATTGTCAAAACTGACCCAGTTTCAGCCATCTGGCTAAAACTGAGTCGGTTTTGGTAAAAAAAACTTTAAAACTTCACGGGACTCCAAGTCCCATGAAGTTTAACAGTCATTTAATTAAGCTGCGTAACTTCACAGGACTTCAAGTCCCGTGAAGTTTATTTTAACTATGAAACTTCACGGGACTTGAAGTCGTGAAGCTTCAGTCTCATTTTCCAGAGACATCCCTCCCCCCTCCAAATCCTGGGACGAGCTCAGCCCCAAACTCTCACCTCCTCCCCTTCCCCTCTCTGACTAAATCAGGCAAATTTCTCATATTCGTTCCTGAAATCCCTCAACTAATCAATCAAATAATTCATCTCAGCAGTTCAACCATGGACCCGTCCCCTCTCATCGCCTGTTGAGGGAACCCTCGATGGTCGTGAGAGAGACGGCCATGGAGCAACTAGAGGAGCCGGAGCAAAAACCAGTGTTGAGTCATCCTTGTCATCGGAGTCTAGAAAAATATAATTCAGATTATATGTGAGGTTAAAGTAGCTGTTGGCGGTTAATCTGGGAGTGGTCAGCACGGATGGAGCACTGCTCGGTGGCGTTGTAGGTGGCGATGTGGTTGACGAAGGTGATGTCGGTTTCGGTAGTGTAGGCAGAGTCTTCGGTGGCGCCTTTGATGGTGGTGATGAGGGTGGGTCCGCTGACGATGGTGGTGGTGGTTGAGGAGTAGGAGCCTTTGATGGTGATGGTGATGATGGGGGATGTGCTTTTGATGGCGACGGGGTCGGGGATAGGGGCGGAACCTCGGACGGCGATGGAGAAGAGGTGGCTGATGGAGTAGGAGCCTTGGACGGCGATGAGTGTGGGGATGGGGTTGGTGCTGGGGGTGGAGTCTTGG